ACGAAGTAACTTTTTATGTTTAAAGGGCAATAGCTGGGGCTAGTTGTTTCTAAGAGGTTTTGTTATTATTAAAAATCATAATGATAGTAATATAGTCAACTTTGTTTTGTTGTTGTTGTTTAAGATGCAGTTTTGTTGCGGTGCCTCATGCCGGGTGTTGTGGCTACCCGCCCATCCTTTGGCTTTCCTTTTCCCTTGCTGCGTGCTTTTTCTTACTTTCCTCTTTTTTTCCCTTCTTCCTTTTTTTTCCCCTCTTTTGCCCCGCGGCTTTACGCCCCCTCCCCCTCCCCCTTCTCTCTGGGTGGGTGTGTGGTGGGTAACGCTGGCGATACTTGGCGTCTCTCGGCACGCACGCACGTCACACTCACACACGTGCGCCTGAGTCTTTTATTGTCTCTTCCCTCACAGAGAAAAGCGGGGATCGTTAGTGGTATATTGTAGTGGGTTTTATTTGCTGTTGCTGCTGCTGCTTTAAGCCAACGTGAGTCGTGGCCTGGCGGGTTTGTTTGCGCGCGCCTTCGTGTCTTCCGCGTTGTCATGGAGGTGGTGGAGGTTTCGAAGCTGCTGCTCCCGATGGACCCAGCGAGCTGGGACACGCGGCAGGTGCTGGCGTACGCCAGGCTGCACCGCGTGGAAGGGATTTTGGAGGAGCAGGTGGTGAGCAAGTCGCTCCGGGAAACGTGGGACTCGCTGGTGTTGCGGGACCTTCAGAACTTTTATGCCGCGACGGCTGCTGTGCTGCAGCCGGTGTCGCCACACGACGTCCTTGAAGCGCCACCGGCGGAGCTGCTGGTGCGTCGCACCAACCCTGACTGCGCCGCACTGTTTCGCGAACATCCGGAGAGGCTGCAGGCCGTTGTGGAAGCTGGCCTGGCACAGATGGACCACGACGCCTTATGCGCGTGCTACGCGGCAGGCCAGCTGCCGCCGCTGGAGTGGTGGCTGCTGATGACGATGGACGAGGCGGCGCGTGCGGGGTTGGTGCACCAAGGTGCACCCCGTGTCTGTGGACGCGCCCTGACGCGGCACGGGGCCATCGTGACTTGTTCGGAATGTGCCGTGGACCGAACGTGCGTGTTCTGCGCGGAGTGCTTTCAACATTCCCCATGCAGGAACCACAAGCACTCCGTGCGGTACGGTAGCGGGGGCGGGATTTGTGACTGCGGTGATCCCCTGGCGTGGAACCCGGCGTCCTTCTGTTCCAGGCACAGGGGCTTCCAGGAGGGCGACGACCCCGCCGCTGCGCTGCAGCCCGCGCAAAAAAGGTGGCTAGAGGTGGTCACGCGTGGGTTACTCCTGTACCAGGCGACGCTGCTGCAGTTTGTAGCCCTGCATGCCAACGACGCCGCGCTGACGGCGGACAGGGATGCGGCGCTGCGGTGGTTTGACAGGGCCCTGCGGCGCACGATGGCGCTGTCGCTGCACCTGGCGAACGTGGGCGAGGGTTCACGACGCCTGATGTGCCTCGCCTTGATGGAAAAGACGCCTCTGCCGCGTCCCATCGCAGGTCAGGTGGGCGGCAGCGGGGCCGCGCAGAGCGTGCGCGTCTCGTGCGTGGAGGAATTCTTTATAGCCAACATTTTTACTCTGGGGTGGAGGGGTTTTATCATCTGGGAGAGCTCACTGGTGTGTTTGATGGCTATGTGTGTCAGTGACCCGGTGCTTCGCATCCCGATTGCGGAGCTGCTGTTGAAGTATGGGGAGCGGCTCTCCGTGATGGAGCGGCAACACGTGGAGGAGCTCGTCGTCCAGGTGCTCTCCGTGAAGGACGTCGTGGACTGCCTGCTGTGGAGGACCCCCCACCCGCCGTGGGAGTGCGTCATTGGCAACGAGACCATCCTGCACCGCACCCTGTCGGCGCTGCTGTACGTCTGCTCCCACGTTCACCGCAGCCCTGAGCTCCTGCCAGGCGCCACGGAGGTTGTCTATCAGGCCTGCCACTGGCTTGAACTCGTGCTGGGCGCGTCCGAGAACGCCAAGGTCCTGGTTGCCTCGCGGCAGCTGTTCCGCGCCTGGTGCAAGGCGCTCTGCCTGATTGGGCTGAGTAGCAAGGTTGCTCGCGAGACGCGGGACACGGGCTCCGCCGATTACAATATTGACAAGGACCACGCCATGAAGATGGAGATGGGTCTGCGGTGTACGTTTAACCTGTTGCGTCACATGGTGTTTGGCGTCGGGGCCGCGCTGCTCTCCGGCGAGGCGCCCTTTCCTGCGCCGCAGCCGCAACCGTCCTTTCCGCTAGCGTGGGAGCCATCGCCCGACGCGGCGCTGAGCCATCGTTATCACCGGCAGGTGCTCGACGCGCTGGCCCTGCCGCCTGCGTCGCCGCTGCTGCTCGCCGCGAGTGGGGCGGGCGCCGAAGCAGAGGGGCCGTGTCGTGCCTACATGCGGGAACTTTTTATGGAGTCCTTGCGGCTCATTAATGCAGCCCTGGCGGAAAAACGCGGTGCCTTTACCCCGGCCACGTACGTTCTTACCGGGCGTGACGCGGAACACATGCTGCCACGCTACGACCTGCTAGACGGGAAGTCGCCCAACCCGACCTCGTTTGTCATACCGCACCTGCGTTTCTTTGCCGTGCTGGTGCAGGTGTGGACAGGCCTGCTGCAGCAACAGGAACAACTGCGGAGGAGGCAGGATGCGTGCTTGGCGGGCGGCGCCTGCCCAAGCGCCGGCGAGCCCTTCTCCGCGCTCGTGTCGGAGGTTTTTGCGGCGTCGCAGTCGCGGGCGGACTACTGGATTGACGAGTGTCTCATGCCATTTGTGTTGGTGGGGCAGGTGGAACGGGGGCTTTGGCCCCGCGACGAGTGCGACGTGACGCTGCGCACGCGGTACTACCTGAGCGACTCCGCCCCGGACATAACCACCGACATGTACCTGCTGCATTTGCTCATGCTGCTGACCCCCTCCGAGGCGCTTGCCACGCAGATGCTGCAGCGGCATGCCGTGACGCGGGCCGATGAGCCCGCGTGGTCGTGGTACCCGCAGTTCCTGCGCCTCATCCTCACCCTCTGCCTCACGGAGTGGGGCGCCGTCATCCGCGACGAGGCCGACCTGCGACGCGCCCTGCAACGCGAGGTGGTGCATTGCGTGGTGCTCTTCAGAAACGTCTCCTTCCACGCGGTGGAGGGCGCCGCGCGGCGCTTCAAGCGCATGCTTCCCGGCCTGAACCCCGTCACTCTGCTTCCGTCCATCCTGGGCGAGGTAGCCGTGCCCGAGCAGCGCGGTCAGATGCAGTTTTTTGTCCTCAAGGACGCCGCGACGTGGCGCGCCAACGTCAGCCTCTACCACCCGCTTGTCAGGGACAACGCGCTGCCGGAGCTGCAGGAGTTGTATGAGCGGCTGGTGCGACGGGAAAACATGGCGCGGGCGAGGGAAGGGAAAGAGGGGCCAACCGCAAGCTCCGCCGCCGCAGCTCCGCGAGCGGTGTTTCCGCTGCCAAGCCTGCCGTGGCTGAAGGCGACGCGGCAAGCACAATCAGGCGACGCGAACGCGGCTTCCGAGGCGGTGCTGCGTCGCCAGTTGTGTTTACTGCTGCAAACGCCCGCGGTGCTCTCGGTGGCGATCGCGACGGTGCACATGTACCTCGCCCCTGAGCAGAGGGAGAAGGGGAGGGCGCGGGGGGCGGCCCTGTCTGAGCGGCAGCTCCTCCACGCCATGTCGCTCCTGCACATCGCGATGCAGGCGTGCCGCGTCATCAGCTCCGGCGACGGCGGTGCCCCGTCGTCGTTGTGCGCCCAGGGCTCGACGCCGGCGGTTGACTGGGATGCCGTGAAGATGTTTCAGCAGCAGTTTATGCCGCCGTCGGGCTACGCGCGGGATGCGCTGCGGCAGCTCCTCCCCGTGAAGGGGATCCTGGACGCCGCGACGCTGAAGGAAAAGCTCGAGATGGAGGTGGCGCCCCATGGCGCGCGCGGCCTCGCCTCTGAAGAGCCCCCGAATGGCAGAACAACCATCTCGGCGCTGCGGCAAATCTATGCCAAATTCAATGAGTCGGGGAGAGACGTGTACGGCATTGCGGCGATGGCGGCGCACATCTTGCAGGGCGTGGGGGAGTTCTCCCCGCTCTTCTCTGCAGAAGAGGCGGCGGCCGAGCAGCAGGCGCGCGCCGAACAAGATGAGCAGCGACGCCTTCGGCTGAAGGAAAGGCAGGCGATGCTGCTGCGAAGGGTCAAGTCGAGCGACGCCAGAAGCTCCGCCAGCATCGTCGCTGCCCTGGACCAGGGTGCCCCAAGTGGCGCGGCTGCCGCAACCGCTACGGGGGCAGCTGCTAGCAGTGGCGGTACCGTTGCGGATTTCCTGCGCGAGGCGCGAGCGGTGGCATCCTCCTCCTCCGCCGCCTCCTCCACCTCCGTCATGGCCACTGTGCTCCTACGGCTTGCGCAGGCAGAGTGCTGCATGTGCCGTAGCCTCTCCACTGAGCCGCTGATGCTGCTCGCCAGCACCTTCACCGCGGACACTCTGTACCGTCTTCGCTTCGATGCATCCGAGCGAGACGCACCGATGGCCCTTAAACTGAATGGGCAAATTCATCTCTGCGGACATGCAGCACACAAGTCGTGTGTGGCAAGAGTTCTGCGGCGTATTCAACTTTTTACGGGAGGAAATTCTACGGTCGTTTTCCCCTCCACGTTCGGTGTAAAGAGTTTTAACTGCCCCCTCTGCTTCATGGTGTGCACGGCGCTGTGTCCGATGCCCACGCTGGCAGCCAGTGCGGCGGGGCGGGCGTCCTCCGCGTCGCCGTCCTCGCTGTTTGAAGACGTGCGCGGCGATACACTGAAGACGACGAAAGAAGCGTCGACGCTACATCGCCTGCTCGCCCGCGCAGCCGTTGGTGAGCCCTTGTCCTCTTCGTCAGGCGGGAGTGCCCTGGCGAGCCCGAGTAGGCTGCAACAGCTTGACCCAGGTGCGTGGGCGCTTGCGGAGACGCTGCGCACCGCGCGGAATCAGATGTGCGTGGCGCTCGAGTGGGTGAAGGCGGGTGGGGAAGTGCAGTACAATGAGTTGCTGACCTTGCTTTCACTCCTCGTCTCCATTGACGCAAAACTTCTTGCCGCCAATGCCGCGAAGCTGACAAGTGAGTTCCAGCGCAAGGGCGATGCGCTGTGCCTGCTGCTGATGCAGCTCCTATATTGCCCAACAACGGCCGCAGCGTCCCTTGCGCAGTACACCAAGCTGCTCCTTGTTTCAAGTGCGCATGATGTATTTGTCTGCCCCCCCGCAGGAGAGGAGGGCGCGGAGGCATATAATAAGCTTCTCATCGCCGTGTGGAGGGAACTCGGCTGCCTCACACTGCTCAAGTTGTTTATCTTGGACCTCTCTCCCGCGGAGGTGGTGCAGTGCGACGGTGACAAGGTGACTTTGACCACCTTGAAACCGGACGCTCTTGCCACCCTGGAGGGACGACGGCGGGCCGTGCTCACCATGCTGCGCTACCTGCTGCAGCTTCCATTCGCGACGGAGCAGGAGGGTGAGCTCTGCACCGCGTTGTCGGCGCTTGTGCAACAAGTGCTGGCTGATGGCGTAAGTGAGCCGCAGACGGCATGGCTTGGGGGAATGCCCACACCGCAACTCGTGCAATGCACACCGCTGCCGGTAACATACGATGGCCCGCCATTGTGGCGGCAATTTATTACTTGCCGAGTGTTTCATTTGACACCCACCTTCGTGGATTTGATTCTCAGCATGAGCTCCACGCAGCCGTGCAGCGTGTGCGGCGATAGCGAGGCCCAGCGTGTGTGGTGCTCGCTCTGTGGTCGCTCCCTCTGCCTGGGTCCGTCACTGACGCCGCCCGAGCTCTACGACCACGCACGCGACTGCGGCAACGGGGTGGGCATTTACCTGCACCCGGAGTCGAACGTCTTCCTCGTGCTGCTGACGGTCGAGGAGCGCCTGCTGCACCACCGCGGCCTCTACGCGGACGAATACGGACAGGCCGGCGTGAACGACTTTCACGGCCGCAACGTCCCCCTCGATGACGCGGCGGTGAAGGCGTGGCTGTCGCTTTGGATCCGCTCACGCTGGGGCGTGCAGTCCACCGTTGTGAAGAAGCTGTCGCTGGGGGAATTGAAAAAATTGTAGCGCAAAGGGTGAGTTGTGGGGTGTGTGTGTGTGTGTGTGTGGCAGCTTGCGTGCGTCCCTCCCTCCACCCCTCCGCCCGTCCAGGCGGCTATCTACATGTATGTATTTCGGCGGCGAACGTGTTGCCGGGGCAGGGGCGAGGCGGAAGAAGACCGAAGTAAAACGGCAAAGCTAAAAGAAAACCGTAAAAGCAAAAAAAAAGAGGAGGCGGGTGGGCGGTGGGGAGGTGAAAGTAATTAATACAGTGACAGTTTTACGTGAAGTTGCTTGCTTTTTAGGGTGCGTGGCGTGAAGGACGGCGCATTAAAATGGAGGAGTATCACCGAAAAGGAGGGTGATGAGCGAGTGAATTCCAAAAAGGAGGAGGAAAAAAAAAGGAAACGGAAATGGAGGAGAAAAATAATTTAAAAAGCAGCCGCAATTAGAAGAAGGGAGAAAAGAAATGCTGAAGGGAATGGGCTGAACGTGGCGGTCGTGGCCTCCGCACAATGCTGCACCTGGTTTATTGCGAGTTGAAATGCGTGCTTCTCTCTCCTGGGAGGTCCGCTTGCGTGCGTGTGCGTGTGTGCGTGTGGGTGGAACGCTGGAAAGCGAGCATCGCGCTCTGACCGTGTGTGTGTGTGTGTGTGTGTATGTGTGGTGGTTAATTCTTCATCTTTCTTTTCCCTTACTCTCTCTATCCCCCCCCCCTCTCTTTTGCTTTCTGCTTGGGTGGGTGTGTAGCTCAGCGGATGGAGCCCAATGAAGGCAGGCTGGCGTTTGTGCCCTGCGTGGAAGACGACTGGCGGGGCTGCCGCCACGGGGAACAGGACGCGAATGCGCTGGCGCTGGCGCGTCGCCTGGCATTTCTTGAGGGACGCGTAGAGGAGGCGTACAACCTGCTGGAGGCGCGACTGGGGCGCGGGAGCCCCTCCTCCGGGGCGTGGCGGGAGTGGCAGGAGGCCGCCTTGTTGCTGTTTTCACTTTGCGACGACGACGATGGCGCCGCGCGGTGGGCGGCGACTGGGCTCCTGCCGCTGCCGTCTTCCACGGCGGCTCGCACGGCGGTGGGAAAGATGGACGACGTCATGTACCAGCACTGCATTGTGTGCTGGGTGAAGCTGGCGTCCGCCGCGCTGCTGCGGCGCGAGACGTCGCCGGCGATGTCGCCGAAGGAGGCAACCGACACGCTGACCTTTGCGCTGCACAACGTGTGCTGCGTGCGTCTCTCGGCGTCGCCACGTTGTCTGCCCACCTGGCGCTTGCTGGAGCGCGTTCTCCGGGCGCTGTTGCTGCTGGGCGCGGGGTCTGCCGAGGAGGCCGCCGTGGCTGTGGTGCGGCGGATGGCCCAGTACCTCCATCACTACCTCATCCGCTACCTGGAGCTGCGGGACCGGCCAATGGAGGGGCGGTGCGGGGTTTTGGGGTACCGCGGCGTCTTTGACCGCGCGTCGGCGGGCATGAACGGGGGCGGCGGCGACATGGACAGGGCTCGGGAAGACGCGGGGGAGCAGAGGCCCGCGGGGGTCTCCGCCCGGGAACTGTGCGCGGCGCTGCTAACGCTCTGCGGCCGCGGTGGCGCACGCGGGGGGGATGCGCCCTTGAAGGACGACCACCCCAACGATGCGGCCGCAGAGGGGAGGGGGCGTCAGGGTGAGGAGGACATCGCAGGCGACGCCGAGGCGGCGGCGTTGGAGGCGTTTTTGGACCGCTACTTTCTCCGCAGTGCCCCAGCGGCGTTTGAACCGCCCCGTAGCTCGGCGGCGTAGCAGACATCGAGGCGTACCGCCACGAACGGCTCTCTCTCTCTCTCTCTCTCTCGTGTGTGTGTGTGTCTGTGTGTGCTTGTTGTGCCTGCCCGGTTGTCTGCCCTCTTCTCCACGCCCTTTTTTTTTAAGTGTAACTCTGGGCCGGGGGCTTGGGGTGCCCCCGCACTTCATTCCCCCGTTTCCTCCCCGGCACACACACACACACACATGCATGCACGCCCAATTCTCTCTCGCTTGCTTTTCTCTGTTGCCGGGTTTTACAACGCCCCTTTTTTTATTTCTTATTTATTGTTTCTTATTCCTTATATTTACTACTGTTATTACCATTTCTTTTCCTCTGACCGTCCCTCTCCCTTCGTGTGTAGCGCACCTCCTCCCGCGCATGTTCACCGACTCCGCCGCGCGCACCTCGCTCGCCTTCGAGGACGCCCTCCCCGACGAGCCGCACCTCACCGTCAAGCGGCGCGAGATATGCCAGCCCTTCCAGCACGGGAAGTGTCGCCACGGCGCGGCCTGCCCCGAGCGGCACGTTATCTCGCAGTTCAAGACGATGCGGCTGGAGGTGTGTCAGCACTGGCTGCGTGGCGCCTGTGTCAACGGTGAGAACTGCCTCTACCTCCACGAGTACGACGACCGGTATGTGCCGGTGTGTGCCTTCTACCAGCGCCTAGGCGAGTGCACGAACCCGGAGTGCCCCTTTCAGCACGTCATACGGGTGGAGAAGCAGCCGGAGTGTGCCGCCTACCGCCGCGGGTTCTGCCCACTTGGGCCGCAGTGCCACCTCCGGCACGTGTTACGCCCGGCGTGCCCGTTCTACATGGCGGGCTTTTGCCCACTCGGCCCAAAGTGCACCATGGGGCACCCCATCCAGCAGTTGTACAACCGCAATAGTGTCTCGGAGCGCCTGCGCCAGCGCATGCTGATTGAGCGCGCCGACGACCCAAGCTTCAATAAGAACGCCACCTGCTACCGCTGCTTTGACCCTGGTCATTTGTCTCCCAACTGCCCAGGCGTGCAGAACGGCCTCCTGCGGCAGATGCTCATGGCTGTGCAGGAGCCGGGAGAGCAGCTTTACTTCCAGAGCGACGGGCGGTCGTCACGCAAGTGCTGCTTCTTCTGCGGAGAAGAGGGCCACGAGGTGCGGGATTGCCCGAAGAAGCCCAAGAGCCATCAGTGGCACGGCCACAGGCGTTCCTAGGTGGCAAGAAGCTGGGCAGGCAGCAGCCATTTTGGTGCCGTGACCGGACTCTCGTGCATAACACAATCAATTAGCTACGCACACCCACACACATACATACATATACGTACTTACAGGCTCGTTCGCCCGCTGGTGGAAGCACTGATGCTGGTGGGATTACTTTGCTCAACTTATTGGTATGTCGTCTTTTTTTTGTTTTTCTTACTTCTTCGTGTGTCCCGCTCCCCTGCGGCGTGCTTCAGGCCTAGGAAGCGATGAGAGCGTCTCGTGTCTACTGTGCTCGACTGCGGCGCCTCACTCGTGGCGGCGTGCCCTTCCTGCGGCAGCAGCAGCAGCAGCCGGGGGATCGAGCGGCGAGGTCCACCGCCGCGTGCCTGAGTGATGCAGAGCAGGCGGCAAGTGCGCTTGCATGTCGGCTGTTAGAGCGGCACCGGCAGCGTCGCGCGGCACGCCTGCATGACGAGGCCACCGCGAGTTGTGGTGGTGCCGCGGTGGGGGTTGTCGCGCACCAGCCGCGGGAGGAAGTGCAGGAGGGGGCGGTGGCCAACGCCCTCGCGCGGCACAAGCGGCGACCCGCCGTAGACGCGCTCGCAGGCCACGGCAAAACCGCCGTCCTGGCGAACCTGGCGCGTAGCCTGGACGCCCGGCTGGCCGAGACGCGGGACCTCGTGGCGGCCACCGACCGGGAGTGGGAAGCGCTGACGGCGCGCAGCAGGGTGTCGGCGGCCTGCGCGGATGCCGACACGCGCTCCGCCGTGCGTGCGTGGGTTCGGTCTTCCCGCACCGACGCCTCGGCGTCCCTCGCTGCGAAATTCGCCGAGCACCTGACGCCGTTCGATGCGGTGATGCAGCGGTATGGCGGTGCGGTGACGCAGCATAGACCCCGCGCTGCGGCGTCGGAGGTCGTGCTCGGCTGGCGGGTGAACATGCCTGCGAGCCTGACGCGGCGAGGCACCCTGCGCTGTGCGTTGGCACGAAGCGAGCAGCTGAGCCGCCGCAGTGAGTGGAGTCGCGTGCGGGAGCGTCAGCTGCCGTTGGGAACCCACTGCGGCGGCGGTGCCGGCGGGCTTATTGAGGGTGGGAAGGAGAGAGAGGTGGAGAGCCCGTTGGCTGGCCGCGCTTGCAGCAGCCGGCCCTTTGCCTCTCCGGCGTTTCGCCGCTACTGCCTACAGTTTGGCGGTAGCACACTGCGGCAGGTGGCATTCCTGGCGGACCCTGCGTTGTACTTTGTGCTGTGCAACTGGCGCTCAACCGGCACGGAGTCTCTGCTGGAAGTCCGCCAGAAGGCAGAGACGCTCACCCACCGCTACGCGTCCACTCTGCCGCTGCCTTGAAGCCAAACCACCACGCCCCGCACATCGTATGCATCATTATTATTCTTCATTTCTCATGCATGCGCAGGCGCGCGTGCCGGTGGGAAGTGTGTCCCTGCGACGCCTTGCCGCCCGCACTCCCTCCCGCGCTTGCGGGTGCGGAGGGAAGTGTTGGGTGGATCGTTGCAGCCTGCGTGTCCCCCCACACGCCTCCTCGCACTGGCAGGAGAGCGTTTGTGGTGGTGCAGGCCGCGAGCCATTTACGCTCCGATAGAGTCTTAACGCACGCACCCCTCGCTCTCGCCCCCGCTCTCTTGCATTCACTCTCGTGCAGCCGCCTCCATTGGAGAGTGGGAGCGAGGGGGGCGTGCGTGCATACGATAGAGGAAAGAAACAAGACCACCGCATTTATTTATATACTCCCACGGGCAGAAGGCGAGAAATAAAGAGAAAGCGAAAGAGAAAAAGTGGAGTGGGGGGAGACCTGATTTTTCTTCTTCTTCTGCCAGGGGCGGCGGTGCGGTGTGATTTGGCGGCTACTGATTCACGGGGAATCATTGACGCGCTTCTGCTTTTCTCTGCGTGTGTGTGTGTGTGTGTAATGTGTCTCTCGCACACTCGTCTGCTTGTCGCCGCATCTGCGTTTGCCCGCACACGCGCCTGCCCGCGCGAAAGCACAGCACCAGGTAAGGAGGCGCAATGATGCGCGACGAGGCCCCCTCTAGCAGGTCCTCGGAACGGGGTCGGCAGCAACGCGAGTTCGAGGACATCCAGCACTCCATGCAGCGCATTGAGAAGCTGCTGCACCGTGGCCAGAGGCTCCTCTACGAGGAGGACGGCAAGGCGCCGGCCCACGGCGCCGCCGGCAGGGGCGGGGCAGCGCGACGCGGCGGGGAACGCGGCCCCACAGCGCCGCCCGGTAAGCCGCAGCGATTCGGCCCGACGCGGCAGCCGGCGGCCCAAGTGGCGCGCGGCCCGGCGCCGAAGGAGCGACAACACCGCGCGGTGACGACGACGACGGCGCCCGCGCGCCAGCGGGAACGCGTCGCCGATGCGGGGCCGGGGACGGGCCCAGCCGTGCGGCGCCGAGCGGCGGAGCCTCGCGGTCAAGCGGCGCGGCACCCCACGAGCCACCCCCACGGCGCCTCGATGCACGAGGAGGCAGACAGCAGTGACGAGTTCGAGGACATCTCCATCCCCGAGCTCCGCGAACGCATCCGTAGGGAGTTGGAGGCGTATCGTCTCAACCGGCGCCCGCCGCCGGCGTGGCCCGCAAGCGCCGATTCCCCACCGCAGAAGGTGAAGCGTCTTTCCGCGCCGCACGACGAAGCCGCGCAGGGCGCAAGCGTGAAAATGACGCCACCGCAGGCGACGCCGCTGCGCCGTCCACGGGCCGGAGGGGCCGCGGCAACCGGACCCCCCGCACGCGCGGCCCACAACAGCAGGAACAGCCCCCTGCACGCGGAGCGCAGAATCTCAGCGTGGAAGCGGCTGTACGGCGATGCCCAGCGGTTGCAAGGAAAACTGCAACAGCCGGCGGCAAAATCGTCAGTGGGAGAGTTTGGCGCCTCGTTCAAGGCGGCTCCCGGTGAACGGGCTTCTCTGATGAAGCGCTTTTCGTTAAGGAACTCGATGACCGCAGCATCGTCCCCGGCAAAGCTGCAAACCCGCGTTGGGCAACAAGCGGGGCTGAACGGCTCGCACCAGCGACAAGGGGTCTACTCGCCGGCGTTGGCGGGGAGGTTCAGAAATCCGTCGGAGAACAGGGAGGCACGAAACGTTTCCGCGCAGGTGGTGGTCCACCGGCGGCCGAAGGCAGAGCGCAACGGGAAAAAGCAGAAGGAAAAGGGAGCAGCCCAGGAGAGTCACCGCGATCCGTGGGAGCACGCGGGAAAGTTTGGGGCTGCAGTGGCGCGGGAGACGACGAAGGACGCGAAGGAACTGGAAGCGGTGGACTCTGCGGAGGGTGCGTGTAAACCGGGCCTGGCGTCAAGCGAAGCACTGGACACAAAAACTCCCTCCAACCATGAGCAGCAGTCTGCGACGGGGCCCCCGTTGACCGCCCTCACACAGGGGCTGGAACTCGCTCCGCAGGCAAGCAGCGACTCCCCGCCGGCCCAGAGATCAAAGGAATCCTCTCCGATGGCCCGGGCGCCAGTTCCCCCTGTCGTGCGTCCACTAGACTTGCGTGCGCTTCGGAAGTGAGATTCCTCCTAGTTTACTTTTTTTTCCCTTTTCATGTTTATGTCCGCATATTCTCCCCGATTTGCTGCCGCTTCCCCCGCTTTGCGTGCTCCACGCCTTCATCCCAAACTCTCCCCCACACACGCACACACGCACGCATGCGCCCATGGATTCCGGTGCTCCGTGACTTCTACTTCTGACTTACCTTGGGCTTCTTTGCAGGGAGGGGGGAGGCGGAACCGCATGCCACGCGGTCGCACCGCCTCGGAGGCTCCCTCACAAAGACCCTCGTGATCGCGCGGAGGAGTGTGGGGCCGCACACGTTTTGCGGCCCACGCGCAGGGGGGCTAAGCGCCTCGAGCTCCACCGATTCCGTGGGTCGCCGGAGACCTGAAGGTGTGTTCTCCAACGAAGTCCGCTTGGGGGGAAAAAAAGGCTGGCCTTTAACTTAGGCGATGCCGCGGTTTTGACGCACATCGCGCTGCGGTGCTCAGAAAAGTGACCCGGCAGAACCCTGCCCTCGCGCTCCTCCCTGGCATTCCTTCTTTTTCTTTTTTCTTTTTTTGCGGTCATGCGATGCGCCGCCGCCTCTTTCCAGCGCGCAAGGCGGCTTAAGGGCTCTCCGCGCCTCCTCTTCGTCCCTGGTTTGACAATTTTAACGTTTTAGATATGCCCCGGCTTCACCTGCCCCAGACGCCGCCGCCTTTTCGACTGCGTGGCTGCAGGCACAACCCCACGGTGCACACGTTGCGGTGCGCGTGGACGATGCTGGCAGTGCCCTGTGTGGCTGTTTGGTTTCCTGCCGCATGAACTCGCTGGGCCGCCATTTTTTCCCCTCTCATCTGCTCCCTTCATCACCTTTTTTTTTTATCCCTCTTTCTTTTCTTTCCGCCGCTTCACAGCTCGCTGAACCCAGAGACTCTACTGCGACGGATGGCGACGAGGGTGCGGCGCCGTGCAGCGTGCGCCCTGGCGCTCCTCGCGCTGCTCTGCGGCTGCTGCTGCCCCTCGTTTGTCTGCGGAGCGGCGAAGCCCCCTGCTGCCCCTGCCACTGCAAGGCGTAAACATCCACCTGAGCCTTTGCCGGAGTTTCTGCGAAAAGGATGGCAGGGGGTGAATGTGTCGGTGGAGGTATCCTGCGCGGACAGTGGCAACAAGTTAAGTTGGCGCTTCTCTAGCACGGCTGCGTGGACGAAGTGTGCGGCCGCGGTGGGAGGTCTTGACTACACAATTCTCGGGGAGGACTCTGCCGCGGAGGAGGTGGAGGATGTTGTTACCATTGACGTCGTTTCGGTGGGCGCGTCTCCGCACGGAGCAGGCGACGGCGGTGTCAGTGAGCCCCTCTGCCTCTCCGCCGAATCGCTGTACGCGACTGCGAACTGCAAGGCGAGCTGCGGCAGTGACAAAGATGGGCAGACCGCGTTCACGATGAACTTCCCGACGCATGCCGGCAGCGGAGTGCACAAGAAGTGGGAGGAGGCTAAAACCAACCTCCGACAGTCCGTCTCCTCCTGCCGCAGCCGGGGGCGCACTTGGCAAGCCAGGCGTTTGCCCGTTAACAATCCCCGCGGGAGACCCAGCTGGAAAGGCTGGCGGTGCGCCTGATGGCGCCGTGCCAACGCCTGCTGCGGGAGAGCAACCACCAAGACTACCTGCGGACCCGCCAGCAGGCAAAGCGGAGCGCGGGGGACGTGTATCTGGAGAGAGAGACGCATCCCCAACTCCTCCACGCCCTTCCAGCACGCCCAATTCCGCCGCCCCTTCCGCTGGCGGCACCGACGCCACAACAACAACGACCACCACCAGCGGCCCAAGTGCTGCGAAACACACCAAAAGCGACGCGGACGGCAGTGTAATTATGACTATATTTGTGCGTGCGCCTCTGCTGCTGCTGCTGCTACTGCTGCACACGGCTGTCCTTGCCTGCGCTGCTGCGTAGGTGATGAGAAGCAACCGCACACACACATCCTGGCAGGGACGACGCGTACGCTTTGTGCGTTCAGTTTGCTTCTTGTCCTCTCTGATGGGACACTCCTTCTCTCTCTCCTGTGCTCTGAGGGATGTTTCCCTTTTCTTATAACTTCTTGCTTCGCCGCTCCGTGCAGG